GCTTGGTTTTATTTGGTGTTGCTTGGCATTAGTTGGCATTAGTTGGCATTGCTTGGCGTTGCTTGGTATTGCTTGACATTGCTTGGCATTTCTTGGCATTGCTACGGTAGCCCCGAGTTTCCTCGAGAGACCCAAGCAAGGAACCTGGTGCGAGGAGCCCGAGGACCCCCCAGGAATGCCTCGAGGTACCCAAGCGAGGAACTCAGACCAATGAGTCCGAGGAACCCCGTGGAACCTCCATCACGAACAACGTCGGACCCACCGGTGCCTTCACAAACCGGAAGACCCTTGAGCCTTGAGCAACGCCTTATGGGAGAATCTTGTATGCAAGTGTTGTAACCTCAGGAGGTCTGTCAGGTTGGGGATCCCCCCCCTGTTTCTCTCGGCGAGGAGTGAACTCCACATCCTCCTGCTCCTGCTCCTCCTCGGCTCATTCCTACGGAGGAGTAGGAGGAGTGAAGGAAGAGGAGGAATGAGAGGAGGAGGAGGAGGAGGAGAATGGTTGCGCGGCGGGTGCCGCGGAGAAATATCAATTTTCCACGAACTATTGGTGGGACCCCAGTCCGTCAATAAGGGTGTCGAGAGGATAACCACTATAGATGGGGTTGGTTCGAAAGACCTGACTCTGTTATGCCTGAGGGGAGCCAGACAGGCTCGTGAACAAAGATGTTAGGAACATGTGTAGCTCATACTCCTGCGGGCAAGCCCGCCTTTTGGAAGGAAGCGGGAAGGGAGGCACCTGAGTCATGTGCCCAGTGCGCGTGTGTGCCCAGTGTGCGTGTGTGCGTGTGTGTGCGTATGTGTGTGCGTGTGTGTGTGTGTGTGTGCTCCCACCCTGCCCCCTCGCTGGCCTCCCTGCCAGCCTTTCCTCAGTTCCTGGGGCCTTCCCTGGCCCCCCTCCTTCAGGATTGCCTTCTTGGCCGCTGCCGCATCCGGTGCGGCACTCGGCTCTGCCGATTTTCGCGGCGCCCTGGCCTGCGATCTCTTGCGGCGTGTTTCCGCGCCTGTTCGTGGTCGTCCCTTGACTTCCTCGTCGTCCACCAGGCCGTCAACCAGGCCCGGTTGGTTTATGTTTCTCTCCAAGCACAGTAGTTCATTACCCACAGTCCCCCTCCCGCCATCCATGCCCAGATGGTTAAGTCGGCTGGCTGCTAAGCTTGTCCGCGTGCGTCCCCGCCAACGATTTCGGCACGCCCCTCACACATTTCGTGGCCCCATCAGAGCTCCGCCGAAGGTCCTAGTAGTGCCGTTCACATGCGTCCCCGCCACATATTTCGGCGCACCCCTCACACGCTTCGTGGCCCCATCGGAGCTCAGCTGAAGGTCCCAGTGGCGCCGTTCGCATGCGTCCCCACTTCTGCGCGCCCCTCGCCCGTTTCGTGGCCCCATAGGAGCTTCGCTGGAAGTCGCAGTGGTGTCGTTTGCATGCGTCCCCGTCACCCTTTTCGGCACGCCCCTCACACGTTTCGTGGCCCCATATGAGCTACTCTGAAGGTCCCAGTGACGCAGTTCGCATGCGTCCCCGCCACCCATTTCTGCACCCACTCACGCGTTTCGTGGACCCATAGGAGCTCCGCCGACCGTCCGAGTGGCACAGTTCGCGTGCGTCCCCGCCACCCATTGCGGCACGCCCCTCACGCGTTTCGTGGCCCCATAGGAGCTCCGCCGACGATTCCAGTGGCGGTGTTCGCATGCGTGCCCGCCACCCATTTCGGCACACCCTTCCCACGCGTTTCGTGGCCCCATCAGAGCTCAGCTGAAGGTCCCAGTGGTACCGTTCGCATGCGTCCCAGCTACCCATTTCGGTACGCCCCTCACACGCTTCGTAGACGCATAGGAGTTCCGTTGAAGGTTCCACAGGCACAATTCGCATGCGTCCGCGTCACTCCATGTCGGCACACCCCTCACGCGCTGCGTGGCCCCATAGGAGCTCCGCCGAAGGTCCCAGTTGCGCAGTTCGCGTGCGTCCCCGCGAGCTCCGCCGAAGGTCTGAGTGGCACAGTTCGCATGCGTCCCCGCCACCAATTTCGGCACACCCCTCACACGATTCGTGGCCCCGTAGGAGTTTCGCTGAATGTCCCAGTGGTGCCGTTCGCATGCGTCCCCGCTACACATTTTCGGCGCGTCCTCACACCCTTCGTGTCACCAGAGGAGCTCCGCCGAAGCTCCAGAGGCACAGTTCGCATGCGTCGCCGCCGCCCAATGCCGGCACACCCATCACGCGTTTCGTGGTCCCATAGGAGTTTCGCCGAAGGTCCCACTGGCGTAGTTCGCATGCGTTTCAGCCATTCATGTCGGCGCACCCCTCACATGTTTTATGGCCCCATCGAACCTCCGCCGAAGGTCCGAGTGGCACAGTTCGCATGCGTCCCCGCCACTCATTTCGGCACATCACCCCTCACACGTTTCGTGGCCCCATAGGAGTTCCGCCGAAGTTTCCACTGCATGCGTCCCCGCCACCCATTTCAGCACCCTTCACACGTTTCGTGGCCACAGGAGCTCCGCCGAGGGCCCCAATGGCACAGATCGCATTCGTCCTCGCCACAAATTTTGGCACGCCCCTCCCACGCTTCGTGGCCCCATAGGAGCTCCGCCGACGGTTCCAGTGGCACAGTTCGCATGCGTTCCCGCCCTCCATTTCGGTACACCATTCCCACGCGTTTCGTGGCCACATAGGAGTTCCACCGAAGATCCCACAGGCACAGTTCGCATGCGTCCCCGCCACCCACGTCGGCACACCCCTGACACGGTTCGTGGCCCCATAGGGAATTCCACCGAAGGCCCCCGGGGGTGTGGCCACATGCTTCCCCGTCACCCGATATCGGCACACCCGTCACACGGCTCGTGGCCCCATGAGGAGCTCCACCGAAGGCCGCAGGGGGTGCGTCCACATGCGTCCCAGGAAGTCATTTCGGTATACCCCTCACACGGTTCGGGCCCCCATAGGGAGCTCTACCGAAGGCCCCAGGGGGTGCGTCCACATGCGTTCAAGGCATTCATTTCGGCACACCCCTCACACGGTTCGTCTCATCTCCCTCGTGGTATTCGCAGCTGTACATGGTTGGGCTTTGCGCCAGGCTTTTTTCTTTTAGAAACGATATGATAAGCACAAATCGCCCAAAAGCCGCCTGTAGGGAGACATGCCCGACCTAACCCTAAGGGGTCATTGAGGTTTCAGGCGACTAGTTGCGCGCGATTCGACCTTTTCCGCCTCGACGCCGCGCGCGAGGTCGCGACGCCCAAAAATCAGCCTGGCGAAGGACCCAACCATCTGCAGTTGAGAGTAATGCCATTGTGGGTATCGTCTTCGGTGGAGCTCCCTATGGGGCCACGGAACGCGTGAGAGGGGTGTGCCGACATGAGTGGCGGGTACGCATGCGAACGGCGCCACTGGGGCCTCCAGTGGGGCCCTCTATGTGGCCACGAAACGTGCGAGGGGTGTGCCAGAATGGGTGGCGGGGTCGCATGCGAACGCCGCCACTGGAGCCTTCGGTGAAGCTCCCTATGGGGCCACCACGCGTGTGAGGGGACTGTCGAAATCGGTGGCGGGGACGCATGCGAACACCGCCATTCGAAGCTTCCTGCTGGGCCACGGAACGTGCGCGGGGTGTGCTGGAATGGGTGGCCGGGGCGCATGCGGACACCACGAACACCGACCTTTGGGGCAACGAAACGTGTGAGGGGTGTGCCGAATTGGGTGGTGGGGACGCATGCGACCACCGCCGCTGGGGCCTTCGGTGGAGCTCCCTCTGCGCTCACGAAGCGTGTGCGGGGTGTGTCGAAATGGGTGGCGGGAACACACGCGAACACCGCCATTGGAGCATTCGGTTGAGTTCCCTATGGGCCCACGACACGTGTGAGGGGTGTGCTGGAATGGGTGGCGGGGGCGCGTGCGAACACCGCCACTGGAGTCTTCGATGGAGCTCCCTGTGGGGCCACGGAACGTGTGAGGGGTGTGCCGAATTGGGTGGCGGGGACGCATGCGACCACCGCCGCTGGGGCCTTCGGTGGAGCTCCCTCTGCGCTCACGAAGCGTTTGCGGGGTGTGTCGAAATGGGTGGCGGGGACACACGCGAACACCGCCATTGGAGCCTTCGGTTGAGTTCCCTATGGGCCCACGACACGTGTGAGGGGTGTGCCGAAATGGGTGGCGGGGGCGCGTGCGAACACCGCCATTGGAGTCTTCGGTGGAGCTCCCTCTGAGGCCATGGAACGTGTGAGGGGTGTGCCGAATTGGGTGGCGGGGGCGCATGCGACCACCGCCACTGGGGCCTTCGGTGGAGTTCCCTATGGGGCCCCCACGCGTGTGAGGGGACTGGCGAAATGGGTGGCGGGGACGCATGCGAACATTGCATTCGAAGCTTCCAACTCGGCCACGAAACGTGCGCGGGGTGTGCCGAAATGGGTGACGATGATGGGAGGAGGGAGGAGGAGGAGGCGGAGGAGTGAGTGACGCGGGGCGCTGTCTCTTCAAAACGAGGGCCTAAAACCACAGGATGGTTGGGAAAACTGTGCGTGTGCGTGTGCGTGTGCGTGCGTGCGTGCGTGCGTGCGTGCGTGCGTGCGTGCGTGCGTGCGTGCGTGCGTGCGTGTGTGTGTGTGTGTGTGTGTGTGTGTGTTCCATCTCCTTAATTATCCTCGCAGTCCTTGGCTCTGGCTCTCGTTTGTTCTCTCCTTATGTTCGTCCAGCATTATGTTGATAGTCTCTGCTTTGCTGTCGGCTAAGCTCGACTTCTCGATTCTGCGTGGCCTCGCTCCTGTACAGGGCGGAGAATGTAGGCAGAGCGCGTTCCGCCTGCGTATCTTGTGAACTTCTGACTGCAGCCCCTGCTTGGCCTCCTCCTCGCTTTCCGATCGGCCGGGGGTCGACAGTCTGCACCCGGCGGCCAGCGGCTCTTGCCCCCTTTGGCTTGCTCTGCGTTGTTTGGCCCTGCGCGTCTGGCTTGTCGGCTTGGCTCGTTCGGCGCGGCGGTGTGAGGCCGGCCAGCCATCGGGGGCAGGACCTGGCGTCACCAGCGAGCCCAGGGACCCCGTATACGCCGACCATGTCACCGCCGCGCAGGGCGCGCTGGGGTGGGTGGGCGGGGAACCCTTTTGTCCTCCCCGTGTTTACGTGCCTTTCCCCACACCGCAATGGACAACATCATGAGACAGTAACAATGCATGCCTGACGTGATTCAGACATGCTGCCGGCCCATCCCGCCATCGTGCCTGGGTTGTGGGTGCGAAGCCTATTTGATGTTCGTTGGGATCTCGTGCGAGGCCTCTCGGAGGCCTGGGCGCCATCTTGAGCGTCTTGGAGCGATCGTTCGGCGGCTCGGGGTCCTGTTGGACCGTCCTGGGGGCCTTTGGGGCCCTCTTGGCCAGTCTTGGTGGGGCCCTCGTGGGCCCAAAACATTCACGCGCCACCACTTCCCGGAGCCCAGGGGGCACGCGCCAAGCCCAAGGGGGCACGCGTCAAGCCCCACCAAATCTCGGAATTTGGGTCTGGCCCCCTTCAAGACTCCGCAGGAGTAGGGATTGAGGCTTAGAGGATTAGGCAAAGGACCTGAGGACACGCCCTATCCGTGCCCAGAGGCACGGTGGGGGATAAGGAAAATCTGTACTTGATACCTTCGGTTTAGCCGTGGGCGGGAAGGGTATGGGAAGGGAGGCGCCTCGGAGATGTTATTTGCCCGGAGTGCGTGTGTGTGTGTGTGTGTGTGTGTGTGTGTGTGTTCCACCTCTTTATCCCCGGCCCTCGGTTCCGGCTGTCGTTCCCCACATGTTTCGTGGGGTTCTGGTTTTCTTCCCATTCCTTCGACGCCACAGGGGGTGCGCTTGGGGTGGGGGCCCTATGCGCTGCAGGCTCCCAGGGCGTGGCAGGCGTGGCATTTCCTGGGCGCCACAGGGGGTGCGCTAGGGGTGGGGGCCCTATGCGTTGCAGGCTCCGAGGGCGTGGCAGGCGTGGCATTTCCTCGACGCCACAAGGGGTGCGCTGGGGGTGGGGGCCCTATGCGTTGCAGGCTCGCAGGGCGTGGCAGGCGTGGCATTTCCTCGACGCCACAGGGGGTGCGCTTGGGGTGGGGGCCCTATGCGTTGCAGGCCCCCAGGGCGTGGCAGGCGTGGCATTTCCTGGGCGCCACAGGGGGTGCGCTGGGGTGGGGGCCCTATGCGCTGCAGGCTCCCAGGGCGTGGCAGGCGTGGCATTTCCTGGGCGCCACAGGGGGTGCGCTGGGGGTGGGGGCCCTATGCGTTGCAGGCTCCCAGGGCGTGGCAGGCGTGGCATTTCCTCGACGCCACAGGGGGTGCGCTGGGGGTGGGGGCCCTATGCGCTGCAGGCTCCCAGGGCGTGGCAGGCGTGGCATTTCCTCGACGCCGCAGGGGGTGCGCTGGGGGTGGGGGCCCTATGCGTGCAGGCTCCCAGGGCGTGGCAGGCTGCGCTGGGGGTGGGGGCCCTATGCGTTGCAGGCTCCCAGGGCGTGGCAGGCGTGGCATTTCCTCGACGCCACAGGGGGTGCGCTGGGGGTGGGGGCCCTATGCGCTGCAGGCTCCCAGGGCGTGGCAGGCGTGGCATTTCCTCGGGGGGGTGCGCTGGGGGTGGGGGCCCTATGCGTTGCAGGCTCGCCACAGGGGGTGCGCTGGGAGGTAGGAGGAGGAGGTAGAGGAGGAGGAGGAGGGAGGAGGAGGAGGAGGAGGAGGAGGAGGAGGAGGAGGACGGGGAGGTGGGGCAGCAGCAGCGGCAGCAGCAGCAGCTGCAGCAGCAGACGCAGCAGCAGCTGCAGCAGCAGACGCAGCAGCAGCAGAAGCAACAGCAGCAGACGCAGCAGCAGGAGGAGGACACCGACGAGGAGGAGAAGGAGCAGCAGCAGCAGAAGCACCGATGATACACATGGGACATAACATAGGTATGTGGGGTTCCTCGGTAGCGTAAGTTGTTCTCTCCCTATTTGTGTCTTGCATTCGTCCGAACGTCTCTGCTCACTGGTCGATCAAGCTCGACTTCTCTCGTGCCGTCTCGCTCGCGCACAGGGCAGATCATTTATGCTGAGCGCGTCTCGACTGCGTATCTAGTAAACCGCCACCTGCAACTTGTCGGCGTGCTGCAGGACAATATGCTTGCGAGTGTGTTCGTGTGTTGGTATTGCAAGATGGGCGAACCACCAGACGGCGCAGTTTTCAGTAGCATTTAAAGTTCCAACCTCAGCACGTCATGCATCAACATGATATGTTGGATCTATTGCACGCTCCACGGGTGCCCCTCCAGTTTTGGCAAGTTCTGTCAACTTGTAATGCAGGGTGTGGTGTGTGGGGTGGGATTTAGATGGGGGATGAAACGTTGGAGAGCAGGCAGCGGAAGGACGTGTAAATGAAGAGAGTGAGTGGCCACTGTTTGCAGGGAGCTCATCGGATATGGCAGTGCGTATCCTAACCCCCTGTAGGATAGAGCTCTCCTTCAAGGGTGCTATTTGCAAGCGGTGCCTCCCATTTCCCTCTCACTCCCGAGTCCCCTCCTTTTTCCTGCCTGTCCCGAACCCCCTCCGCCTGTACGGGTCAGTTTCAATAGGAAGTACGGTGTAGGGTCTGCTATTTGGGCGGCTGAGACGGCGGCGCGGAGGACGTGCGCTGTGGAGACGATAGTGGGGGAAAGGCCAGAGGAGCAGCACCAGGAAGTTGGAAACAACAAGTAGTTCGCACCGTGCCGCACCCCTCCCCATTCCTTTGGCAGCTCTGAGGCCGAGTCTGTCCGCATGGCGACGACGCCTGTGCGCATCAGGCCGGGAGTCGCGCCTGCTGGAGGCCAATTGCCCTAGCTGGGGCCCGCGCACATCGTCGTCGCTGACATGGTCGTGATCGTTTGCGTCGTTCTTCTGCTGTCCTTCCCCGTTTCACCTCCCTCCTTCCTGCGCGGTCCCCTTGCCTAGACCTCGCACTCGTCCTCCGTATCGCCATCTTCCTCCTGTCCTCTCGTTCCTGTCGCTGCTTCGGATGCATTCACCAGGCTAGGACCAACTCGGGCGGTCCTTCGGACACGCACGCGTTACCATCACACTCATCGATCTTCTCTTCCTGGCGTCCTTTGCGTGGTTGGACAGGTACAGGGATGGGGAGGGGGGAGGACTATGTTTGATTGAGTATTGGGGAGGGGAAGGGGGAGGGGGGGGACACGAAGGAAACGGAAGGGGGGAGGATGCAGGATGCGTGGAGCGACTGAGTGGTGGATGCGAAGAAGTACGGTATCCTGATTTGGGAATTAATGCGCGCCACACCAGCCAGCCGAGGATCAACCACAGCGCCTGGCCGTCGCCCTTAAGCGGTTCTGTTACTCTGGACGTGGAACGGCGACGATGTGGCACCCGCGCAGAGAGAAACATCGAGTTGCACAGCATCGAGCCTCCGCGGGCCTCACAATCTACTGGCATCCAGGGGCGCCGAGGGGCTTCGGATGAACAGTTTGGAATGCGTGCCGAGAGGCGTTGCGCGGCCAAGATTTTCTGGGAGTGAAAGCAGGAATGCGCGGCGCCGAGGATCTCGAAGAGTTTGCCAGGTTCTCTGGAGGAACGCAGCCTCGTGCCCGCGCAGCCGTTCCTGTTTCGCACGACCGAGCCTCTAATTTTCCTCTGGCTCCCAGGCGAGTTGCGCAGGTGCGTGACCCCCGTGATGATCCGCTCAGGCACGCTCGAAGGCCGCGGGGGTGAAGCCATCGTGGAGGCGTTTGCACATGGCTCCTTCACATCCTTTGCTGTCGTAGCGATCACATGGAACGGGATGCCCATGGGGGACTAATGATTCAGTCTAGGAGGATCAGGGTGGATGGGATCATGGTGTGCGCGAACTAAACACTGAGAGGGGGATCGCAGAGTAGAGACTGTCGGGGTGTGGACAGTACGTATTCGTTACCAGCACTTTTGGTTACAAAGTTTGTGGACGAGCTCCGGGTTGTGGAGATCGCCTCGTGAAAGACCCAGGTTTATATCATTGTCGGCCTCCGCCGATGAGTGCACAAGGTCTCATTGGTTCAAAGATGCGGTCCTGAGGCTTTGGGTCCCAAGGATGGGGAGGGATTGAAGCGAAGATTTATGGTGTTTGAGGCATCTCGTCCTTAGGACCCCATCCCTCAGGACCCCGTACTTCCAGGACGCGTACTTTCTGCAGTGATCTTGCCGCCGTTCCTCCCCCACCTCCTCCTCCTCCTCCTCCCAGATCTTGTTTCACAATATTTCACACATCAGGCGCCTCGGCGCCCCCTCCGCCGCGCCGTCATGGCGCCGCGCGTGCGAAGCCGTAACCGTAGCCGTAGCCCTCAGGACCCCGTCATTGAACCACCGAAGGTCCAGAGCTGCCAGAAGCTTTCGGAACCGAAAAGCCCCTGCCCAGTGATGATCGCAGCGTCCGTCTATGGTCGCCCCGTGGCCCTCGCCAGGGCCCAACTTGGATAAGCTGGACTCGGGGTCCGTGCGCGTGTGAATGGTAGTGCAATTACCCAACCGCAAGTGCTGGGCGAGTGCGAGATATGGTAGTGCTTGCGGTGATGATGATAACAGCATGCGTCGACCGTGCACGTCTCACCCCCTTCTCTTCGTCCCTCTCCATCCGCCCTACTCATCGTCCGTCCGTCCGTTTCCTCCTGCAGAGCGGGCCGAGTCGGTCTGAGGGCGTGGTCAGGGGAGGTCACATTCTTTTGACGCCCCATGTACACAGGACGGAAGGTTTTTTTCTGATTTCTTGAAGTGCAGACTGCGACACTCGGTATTTCATGTGACCGCCCCTGCAGAATCTCAAGAGGAGCGGGCACTGGGCTTGGATCCATCTCGTGTCGGTCACACGAAGAACAGTTCTGATTCAGTTTCTCGGAGCTGTATTTTATACCTATACCGGTGGTACTGTATCGATCGATCGATCGGGGGCTCGGAGTTGCGGGCGGGCCCCCGACCCACACGTGGAACATCCGAGGCGGTACGGCTATACTACCGTTTTCTGGCTGTTCGAGATGAAGTCTTCGGAGCCCCAAGGGTCGGCTCAGAACATCCCCTGACCATTCAAGACGCATCAAGACATTCCAATATTATTTCAAGGCCCCAAGAGCGCCCCAAAAGGTCCATCCAGACGGTCCCTGGATATTTGAATCGTTGTTTCATTTTGTTTCCGATCATCATGTGATGTTGGGTCCTCGTATTGAAAAGGCGGTCACCGCGTTCCTCCTCCTCCCACTCCTCCTCCTCCTCCTCCTCCTCCTCCTTCTCCTCCTCCTCCTTCTACTCCTCCCCCCTCCCGTCACCTCCTCACTTTGGCACACCCCTCACACGCTTCGTGGCCCCATAGGGAGCTCCACCGAAGGCCCCAGTGGGGGAGTGCGCATGCGTCCGCCGCACCCAGTACAGCGTCTTTTGGCCCAATAGGGAGCTCCACCGAAGGCCCCAGTGGGGGTGCCCGCATGCGTCCGCCACACCCAGTACAGCGCTCCGTGGCCCCTATGAGGGAGCTCCACCGAAGGCCCCAGTGGGGGTGCCCGTATACGTCAACCACACCCAGTACAGCGTGCAGCATTTCGTGGCCCCATAGGGAGCTCCACCGAAGTCCCCAGTGTGGGTACCCGCATGCGTCCGCCACACCCAGTACAGCGCTTCGTGGCCCAATAGGGAGCTCCACCGAAGGCCCCAGTGGGGGTGCCCGCATGCGTCCGCCACACCCAGTACAGCGCTGTGCGGCCCCATAGGGAGCTCCACCGAAGGCCCTAGTGGGGGCACCCGCATGCGTCCGCCACACCCAGTACAGCGCTTCGTGGCCCCATAGGGAGCTCCACCGAAGGTTTCAGTGGAGGTACTCCCATGCGCCCGCCACACCCAGTACAACGAGACCCATCGTCTTCGTTCGTGCCGTGTACCCCGCCACACATTTCGGCGCACCCTTCGCATGGGTCGTGGCCCTATAGGGAGCGCCACCGAAGAAGATATTCACAATTTTGGTATTCACAATTGCAAATGGTTGGGTCTTTCGCCAGGTTCTTTTTTTGTTCCTCTCTTCCTCCCTCCTCCCTCCTGCTCCCCTCCATCCTCCATCCTCATCCTCACCATCGGTACAGCCGTCATAAGGTTCGGTGCCCCCTAGGGAGCTTCACCGAAGGCCCCAGTGGCAGGGTTTACATGCGTCTCCGCGTTTCATTTTGGCGCACCCATCACACGATTCGTAGCCCCTATGTGGAGCTCCACCAAAGGCCCCAGTGGTAGGATTTACATGCGCCCCCGCGACTCATTCTGTCACACCCCTCAAACGGTTCGTGGTACCATAGGGAGCTCCACCGACGGTCCCAGTGTCAGGGTTTACTTACGTGCGTCCCCGCGACTCATTCTGTCACACCCCTCACACGGTTCGTGGCCCCATAGGGAGCTCCACCGAAGGCCCCATGCGCCCCGCGATTCACTTATCACACCCCTCACATGGTTCATGGTCCCCAGAGGGTGTCCCACCGAAGGCCCCACTGGCAGGGTTTACATGCGTCTCCGCGATTAATTTCGGCACACCTCTCACATGGTTCGTGGCCCCATGGGGAGCTCCACCGAAGGCTCCAATGGCAGGGTTTACTTGCGTCTCCGCGAGTAATTTCGTCACACCTTTTCACACGGTTCGTGGCCCCTCAGGGAGTTCCACCGAAGGCCCCAGTGGCAGGATTTACATGTGTCCCCGCGATTCATTTCGTCACACCCCTCAAACGGTTCGTGGCCCCATGGGGAGCTCCACCAACGGCCCCAGGTGGCGCAGTTCGCATGCGTCCCCCCATCCAGTACAGCGCTTCGTGGCCCCAGAGGGAGCTCCACCGAAGGCCCTAGGTGGCGCAGTTCGCATGGTCATCTCGGGGGCCTCTTGGGCGCTCTTGGGGCCATCTTGGTGGCCTCTGGGGCCGTCTTGGGTCGTCGGGACACCGAAAATGAGCAAACGCCTTATCCTTTAAAACCAAGCTGAATCCACTGATTTTGGCCCCTTCGGGCCGTCCTCTCTTGAGCCGTCTTGGAGGCCTCTTGGGGGGTCGTCTTGGGGCATCCTGAGGCCATCCTGGGCCGTCTTGGGTGCATTTCGGGCTCTCTTGGGGCCATGTTGGCCGTCTTGGAGGTCGTCTTGGGGCCGTCTGGAGTCCTTCTTGGCCGTCCTGGAGGTCGTCTTGGGGCCGTCTGGAGCGGGAAGACCGACGGGATACGAAATTAGTTTATCCTTCTGCGCGACCGGCTGGTTAGGCCGAGACCTCACTGGTAACCTTCGAAAGGAACCAAAACCATTCAGAAATCTGGCACGCCATGCACCCCTGCGGCAAGCCACAGGGGGTGGCGCGGCACAACCCGCCACCCTGCCTGGATTGTGGACCAGATGCCGCTCAAGAGGCCTCTTAGGGTCTTTTTGGATTTAATTGGGAGTCTGGGGATCTCTTGCGGGAGTCTTTTGGGCCTCTTGGGGTCTCGCTGGGGCTTCTTGGGGGCTTCTTGGGGGCTTGTTGGGTCGTTCTCGGGGACATGCAAGCCGTCTGCGGACGATCTTGAAGAGTTGTTGGCCTGTCATATGCACTCGTAAGACCGAGACGGCGAGAAATTTGAAACCGCTAGAACACCTGTTAGGTTATTTACATGATGTTGCTTTCTTGGCGGCCACTCAGAGCTTCTAAAACGGCCCAAGAGGGCTCCAATATTGGTCCGGGGACCATGAGCCAGTTTCTTTCTTGCTTGGGGCATGACGGGCGTGATGGCCCCTGGCCCCCTCCCCCCCCCTCTATGACGTAACGCCCCCCCGCCCCCCCAGTGCGTTCCGGGCATTGCCGCCGTGCGCATCGTGATCCGCATCGGTGTCCGCATAGGAATTCGCATAGGAGTCTGGTCCGCAGTCGTCGTCGTCGTCGTCGTCGACGTCGTCGTCGTCGTCGTCGCCGACGTCGTCATCGTCGTCGTTGTCGTCGTCGTTGTCGCTCGTCGCTCGTCGCTCGTCGCTCATCGTCGTCGTGCGCGCGGACGCGGCTGGAGCCTGTTTTTTTGTGTTTTATTGCAGGCCGATGACGGCAATCATCTGGGGGGGTGGAGGGGGCCGATGACGTCGCGATTCGCGCCTGCGGCGTCTGGGAACGCCTAGGAATCACCGAGGACGGTTAGCAGCAGCATGTCGGTGGCGATCTGCACCACAACGCCTTTTCACACCATAGTGCTTGCGTGCCTTGAGCGCCTGTGTACACCACACCGCATATGTACACCACAGCAGCCTCGTGCATCACAGCGTCAGCGTGTGCCACAGTGCGTTCTGGCGCCACAGCGCTTGTGTAAACCGCAGCGTCTGCGTACACCACATCAGCCGTGCGCAACACAACACCGAGAACGGGGGATTCAAGTGGCGGTCTGGAGGCCGACGCGCGCGACGATTTACCCCCGAGGGGCGCGAGAGTGAGCGAGGGAGAAGGAGGGAGTGAGAGATAGGGAGGAGGCGGTGGAGAGAGAAATAGATAGAGAGGTATGCGGGAAAGAGAGAGAGAGAGAGAGAGAGAGAGAGAGAAAGAGAGAGAGAGAGAGGAAGGAGAAGCGAGGGAGAAACAGGCGAGAGAGGTAGCCCCTCCCCTCTCTCCTCCCCCCCCTCCCCTTTCTCCTCCCCCCCACCCACCTCCACCCCCCACCCCCCACCCCCCGAACAGCACGCGGTGGCCCTTGGGGGGGGGAA